TATGACTGAAAAATTTAATTTTTTCTGAAAAGGTGGTGTCTATTTACTTGTGACCACGCAGTGTATATTGCTGATTCCTCCTCTCGAGAATCTTCTACAACTTTGGAGAATAGGCGGGAGTTTCGCAATACATATTTAACTGTATAACTTATGTACACTTGGAAATATAAACTTAATTCAAGCAAACGTTGATATTGAAATAAAAATATAATAATAAATCCGTCACAGTGAGACTCCCAGCATCACTGGAAAGTGTTGCTGAAGTGGATAACTGGGAACTAGCTAAAGAGCCGAAGTGTTCATCTTTCTTTTTCTTCTCCCACACTAGCCAAAAAAGTGATGAAGTTCTCGCAATGGCTTTAGTATGACAGAAAAGCATTTTAAGAGTACTTGGGAATAGGATATCGCTAAAACAAGCATGGTAGTTTTTAGTATGTAGGGATGGGCCAAGAAAATAACGGCAACCGCATTCAATTTATTACTGTATGATGCTTATAAGTAACTGCTAAAGTTTGTGCACCTAATTGCCATTATCGAATATTTCACAGCTTGTATAACAGCAAAATTATTCTGTTCTTCTACCACATATATTTTTGTGAAAATAATAAAAAGGAAAACTACTAATGAGTTCAATTCATAAGGATATAATATTTCCATGATTCAAAAATAACAGTTTCATTTCTCATCACTAGTTAGTAGCAGATATTGTTCTTAGATAACAACCATTTCTGACTTTTCATTATGCAAACATGATATCTGGCTAAACAATTTCAGTAAAAATAAACTAATAAATAATAAATAATCTAAGTTATTATTCAAGGTATCCAGGAGATGAAGTATTTATGCAACAGACAGATCTGTGTATATGTTATTGATTTCTGAAAACAATACGTTATATAGCAGTCTACTTCTCTTCGGGTTTTCAGTTGAGCTGAACCTGGCAGCTGTGTGTGTGTATGCGTGGTATCATACTTCATTTCCTAGGATCCATAATATGTCCTTCTTATTAATCGACGTGACCCTAGCATGTGGTAGAGTGAGTTGGGGTGAAGTTGGAAGGCGTGGGTTGTGTAAATATTCCCTTAACACCAGTCCAGCGCTCTGAGGTACTTATACTGTAATGGAGGAACCATTCCAGCTTCATTGGCCAGTGTAATCTAAAACTTGACAAAACTGACATACCATTGACTTATAAAAATAAAAACAAATGTTCACTTATCGACTTACTTCAATGAAATTGTTAAACGAAAAGAGGGGAAACATATAATAAAACAGTTACAAAAATTAAGTATTATGTATGGATGACAATACCAAAATGTCCATAAACAAGATAGGAATGAATACATAAAACCATACAAAAATTCCTACATAATTAGCCAGTAAGTGCAGAGTCAATCTTACAAGCTTATGGTTATTAGCCACTGTAAGGCTGTATAGAACTACTCAGTTTCAATTCTTTTATTCAAACTTCAATTCATGCATCTGACGGGAATTCAACATTTAGTTGTAGATAAACATTATTCTTGGGAAGACTTGGCTAATGATGGAGTGATTTTTGTATGGTTTTGTGTATTCATCCCTACCTGTTTTCTGTATTTTTTGGCATTGCTAGCCCTACATCATATGTAATGTTTGCAATTTATTTTATTACTTTAGTTATATAAAGTACCCGACTTTTAGTCAAACCTGAGGTATTGCCACAGTTATTCTAAATGCTATAGTTTCACTATTCTTATGTATGTGAACATATCTAAATACTCTAACAACACATATAAAAGAGTTGTTAAAACATGTTATATATTAAGACAAATAATCAATGAAAAATGCTAAAATTATCGTTCTTCTTCTTCTTAATTCTTATATTATCAATAATCTTGTTCCTCGTTCAATTTTGGGTTTAATCTATTAATCAACAACGTCTCTTTTACAGTATTCTCGTCTCCCACTTTATCTATAATTTTAAGCATATTTTGATATATAACAACATCACATTCGCCAAGCACTTAATTATATATACTTCATTCACTGTCGCCACAAAATCTGCATGTTCTTTTATGCGTGTTTCTAGCGATCTAATCTCCTGGCATGGCCTGGTGGTTGGAGTATTCTAACTGCAATCTGTGAGTCGCGGGTTCAATCCCTGTCACCGACCATACTCGCCCTTTCAGCCGTTTAGGCGTTATAATGTGATAGTCAATCCTACTATAAGAGTTGTTGATATAACTGAAACTTCGAATTAGCAACTTTTACTTAAAAATTGAAACTTTAACTAAATTTTATAAATAGGTTTCATATTTCTTATATTACCCACTTTTATATATTCTTTCTTTACTAGCATATTACTGTTATGTTAATTATTTATTGTTGAAATTCTTCATTATTTTCATTGTAATCTCTAATGTTTGAAAATATTATACAGTAAAAACCCCAGTTTGTAAGAATCGAAGGTACTACACTACAAAAGTTTTCCATAATTTCAACCTTTCAGATGTTTTATTTAAAACTCGATTGGACATTGGTTTGGAGCAAAGTCCACGTGTGTTTTTTCTGGACAGAGAAAAAATAAACCACAGTTATTATCAAGTCTCTCTCAGGAAAGGCTCTGTATTCTGTAAAAGTGTTTATGCTTATATTCAGGTCAGTGATATTACATTATTTCGGGACGAAGATACTCTACTGATATTATAAAATCCTTGAGCTTCATAGCCATTTATTCAGCATACTCTTGTATGCAATAAACTTTTGATTATTGATAATTCAACGTCGACAATTTATTGAACTGTGTAGTGAATATACTTAAAAAAAGAAAAAATATATTTATTTTTGAATTTCGTAAAAGTATGGTATTGTTGTTTTTTTTGGGGGGGGGAGTCATAATATGAAAAAAATATTAACATTAACAGACTTTTTGAGCTTGTATGTCATCGTATACTGAAGTTTAATAGCACTTTATAAGAACAATATTTCAGGTGTCGTGCTCTCCTTCAAATTATCTCACCATTGCCAATCGCATTTAGTTTGATTGCCATGATTACAGATTATTGCCCGAAACCGCGATTTCCATTTTAACAAGCTTCTGCGAAGAATGGCAAAGTTATTTTAGATCACAGTTGATTGCAAAGTGTGGCTGGAAGCTTACGAACCTTTGCTTTGTGAGTGTTCGCCAACTTCAAATCCTTGTTTATTATCTTGTTAGCACCCAGCTTCATTGGAAGGGTTTTTGGATCAGAGTTTGCTTTAGCAACCCTAACCTTCACATTGTGGACAAAAGTGTTGCTCCAAAGTGATTTGGGGTCTAGTGTGTCGGAGCTCGCTCATCACCTGAGTTTTTTTCCATCAGCATGGAGGATCTTGAAGGCTGCGTTCTTCGAAATGCTTTGTACTTTGTCTCCACATCGTTTAACGATCTTCCTTGGGGAGAAGAGCTGTGACAAAACCTTCAGTTATATGTCTATGCACGTTGCCAGTGCACTACTGAATGATTAGGAATTCAACATGAGCCAAATATATAAGCGCTAAAACTTCTCCCCATGACACCAACGTCTATACCTGAAGCGACGTATCACAGCATTAGCATATTCAAATCGTTCGTTCGTATAAAGTGCGAAGAGCGAACTACTCATCATGAAACTCAACAAATTTAGAAATGCAGCGTTTGTATTGTCATTGTTGGTAACAACAACAAAAAAGGGCAAATGTCATAAAAAAATTGATTTTCACAGTTACAGCTATTTTTCAATCGTTATTAATAACCATATTTTTAAGATTTCTATGTAACTTCGTTGGTATGTATGGTCGCATTTTTCCCGAATATTTGTCTAATGTTGTTATAATTATTTGTTAATGTATAGTACTTTCATTTATGCACAGGCAGTAATATGTTAAAATCAAAAAGCATTTTAAAAGCTTTTGATAAGTAGCATATTCTACCAAATAACATATTTTACTTGGAAAGCTTCTCTTTTACTTATTACGAACAGTTTATGCACAATTATTGAACGTAGTAACTGTAATTATACCTGGAAGAAAAATATATCAAATACAACATAATTAGAATCCTTAGCACATTTATTGGGGGGTTAATTCTGTTTAATGGTGTATCTAAGCAAAATCGATCTTGCATTAGGGAAGAGATTCATTTTATTTTGTCTCTGTTATGCTACTTAATTAATATCTGAATATAATTAATTGAACTGGTTTTCATTTGCAAATAATTTAATTTTTAATGTAGCAGTCCAGTATGTGCAATTGGTTGGTTGGTTTGTAATTAAGCACAAAGCTACACAATGGGCTATATGTGCTCTGCTCACCAAGGGTATCGAAACCCGGATTCTAGCATTGTAAGTCCGCAGACATACCGCTGTGCCACTGGGGGGCTGTATATGCAATACCTTTTCTTTATATGGTACATAAAATTTTAAATTTTACAAATAATATATTATTGTAATTATCTATATTGCAACATTAGGAACAAGTGCGAGACAAGCTGACACCCATTATAATAGAAGTCGCCACTGAGTTGAGAGACTTGGAACCTTCCAGAAAAATCCTGAAGCCAATCCTTAATGAGACCCTACCACGAATATTAATGAAACAAGTATGATATCTAATGATTCTTATTAACAACTTAATAGCTGTGTATTACGAAATCATCCAACTAATTGTTATCTGGTCTAGTATTTTCGACAGTTATATTTTTGAAAGCATTGTATTTTTCTACTACAGTTTTAAAATATTTAGTGAAAAGAAACAAAAAAAACATTATACTGATATGTAATAAACTTGATCAGAACATATATATAGTGTCGACTAATTACTTTGATCATGCTTATGGTTGCAAAACGAAAATTATGGCTCGATATAGTCACGTCCTAGTTAAAATATTAAGGAACTTGTCTAGTTTAACGGTAGTCGTTAGTAAGTTTGAAATTTATTGTCGTAGCTGCTTAGAAATTTGCCAATAATTTTTAATAGATATATTTAGTAGTTTGACTTCAACTATCCGCTTTTTTAGTGAAGTTTTTGTTGTCGGGTTTTTTAAAAAAGAATAAAAGACGTTGGGCGTACTTATTCAATATATAAGATGTTGATTTTCTATGTTCTGTTTTACTTATATGTTTGATTATCGTAATATTTGATAGTAAGTTCTTGTATTTGCTCTTAATGTATTTATATCTATATTTAGTTAAAATGTAACGCATTGCATTGGATCACTACTTTTCAGGTTAACATTCAGAAGAACTGTGGAAAAGACAATATGTGTATTCCTGACCTGACTGTGGAAGTGAAAGCGTGAGTTCTCGTTTTATAATGCTACTACAACAAGGCGATTTCATAATGATAGTTTTTCTGTTTGTGTACATGAAAAGAATGGGTGTTTGTGTGAGAGAAAATTTGTAGATACCTACTTTTTGTGTTACTGCTGTAACTCAGTTAATATGCTGCGGAAACTTTGTACTGTTAACTCTAATTTATTGTCCACAGCTTATTTTATAGGTTTTCGCATATTAAATTCAGTGTTTGTAGTTCTTATTACAATATTCCGATGATAAACAATGCTGCTTACTTATCATACCTCAAGATACTCTAAGTATAATTTGTCATATATGAGTTTGGAAATGTAGTAACACTTTCAAAAGGAAAAAGCGTATTTGAATATAAATGTGTGTGTGATAACATGTTTATTATCCATCAGGAATATGGACGAATATTTGATTGGAAGCAGAAAGAAGCTCGAACTCACTGTTAACATTACCAATCATGGAGAAGATGCATTTGAAGCTATGTTATATCTAGAAACTCCCCAAGACTTTAATTATGTTAATATCAACAAGACCAGCGCTGTAAGTTATTATTACTGTACAATTGTTAAAAAAGCTCCTTTTAACCAGGCATGAATTATTATAAAGTACATATTTTGGTAAAAATAACAATAGCTTTAATAGTTTTATTAATCAACAAACTTAAACTTTTATCCCTTGTTCTGTCTAAATGACTATCAACAATTTGTTTTTTTGAAAAAACGTCGTTGCTGCTACTAACATAAAAAAAAAAAAAACTTTTGTAATGCAGTAGCCACTTCAGTTTACATAAGTGAATTTGTTATGGGCTTTTTCTTCTACTCTTGAATACTAAATAGTAACAAACAAACAAACATAAATCAAGTATCACTGTTATTAAATTGTCATGCAATAAAACTATACCACTATCAAATACTAATCAAAAAGTTGTTTTTAAATTTTTAAAACAATTTCTGTTTTTATTCTCATTATACAATGAGATAGGTTATATACGTACTTATGTCAGATGAGAGATCAGTACTGAACTTGATCAGATTTCACCATCATTTTTAAGAGAACATGTTGTGAAGTTGCTCTAATATTGATATATATATGAAAATTGAAAAGTGTTCCCTGTGCTCTTAACATACTTGGAAAGTAACATTTTTACATGTAATAAACTTGGACTGGGTGGACCTCAATAAATAGATATACGTGACATAATAAATTATTTTTACGGAGACACTAAAGAGCTCAAATTTTCCCTTGATAGAGTATGACTATCAGCTGTTTTCCATACTTGCATACTCCTGAAGTCAATAACATCGTCTGTGATATCGGCAACCCCTTCCCTGCTGGACATGAGGTAAGATAGACATTTTTATCAAACCGACATTGGCTTCAACATAACACTATAAATAATAAACAAAAAACAAGCCTAGATTTCTATAAGACAAAATTAAACCTATTTTTGACACCATGAATATCTTATACAAGTATATTTTCAAAACTTGAATTTTGTTTGTTCATACAAGTTATCTAAAAACGCTTGTTTTTTTCATATTTAATTATTAATTAAGAAATACTGGCATTTGGAAATTTATTTGAGGAAATTCTACTATATATAATATTATATTTGGGCAATTTTGTTTTTAATTAAACAAATAAAACTTTTCTATTCTAGCTCATATTTTCTGTGATTCTAAAACCAGCTAAAATGGCCTCTAGAATTCCGCATTTCCATTTTAAAATGAAAGTAAATAGGTAAGTTCAAATTTGAAAAAATTTTATTATGTTACAAGTTCGTTTCTTTAAGTGTATTAGTGCTTAAAAGTGATATTAATGTTATTATAAATTTTTATTGATATCCATCTATAAGTAGCAACTGTGCTTCAAGACTGAAAAGTCGCTATGTATTACAATATATTAGGTCGTCAAGAAATTAATGTCGCTTTTTTTAGGTGAAAAAACCCGAACAACTTACATATCAAAACAAAACATTTAGTAAATGAAATAGTTCCCATTCTTATCAATGATGCCTTTCTATCTTACAATCAGGTTGTTAATGCCCCGATTAAAGAAATCACTTGGATTTGAAGCAAAAAACATGTCAATGTCCTATTTAACACCTTCCACATTTACATTAAGAACGAAAAATATGGTAATCTGATGGTGCCATATCTGGAAAATATGGTGGGTGGGGGAGAATTTACTAACCCAATTCCATAATCTTTTGTTGCGTCAAACATGCCATATCTACATGGACGTGCATTGTCGTGGAGAAGAACACCTTTCTGATTAACGAGTGAAGAGCATTTCTGATGAAGGGCTTGATTTAAACGTTCCAGTTTCTGACTATAGATCTCTGCATTGACAGTTCGCTGTGGATTGAGGAGTTCGAAATGAATTACTCCTTTGACGTCCCACCAAATGCAAAGCACCACTTTCTGTGAATGGAGTCCAGATTTTAGGGTCGGAAGTGTTTTTTGTTTAGGACTGGGCCATTGTTTTTGGCGTTTAATGTTTGCACAGAGAATCCATTTTTCATCACCGGTGACAATTCCGTTCACACGTTGGAAACGATGATCATCGGAGAGTTCGCGAGGCACCCAAACACTTTCTTTATGGAGTTTTCCCATATTCCTTAAATGTTTAAGTATTGTTTCATGAGAGACATCCAATTCCAGGGCCATTTCACGAGTGTGTTGCCTTGAGTTAGTCTCAACAGGTGTCTTCAGAGCATCAATATCAATTCCAACATGCCGGCCCCTGCCATCACAGTTTTTAAAGTAAAGTCACCTGAACAAAATTTGCTGAACCATCGTTAACACTTACGAACGGTCAAAA